CTGATGCTGCTTGGCCTGCTGTGTTCATCCAGCTCTACACCTTGTTATCTCTGAAAATAGTAGCAGCAGTTTGTTAAGCTGGACTGTGGAGCTTAACATGACAGATTCAACCAAGTCTATGTTAAAGGAACTAACTGTCTACCGATATCTAAATGAGTCAGCTTCTCTTCTCACTGATTAAAAATCTTAAATATTTACCACATAATATTACCAGATGAACATAAGCAAAACCTTTAATGGCACAGAAAAGTTGGTTACCAACTTCTCATAGCAATTAGGGATACGCAATTTACCCTTGATCACAGCATGCATGTCGACTCAGTGTATACAACCAACCCAGTTTCTGATGGCACAAGTCATATTTAGGCCCTTTCAATGAGGAGTGGGCCTCAAATTCTCACCTCATAAATGCCCGTTTTACTGACCTTTTAAAGTTAGTGCATGGGAAAAAACGGGTAATACAGGTCATCCTGTCGAGATAATGGATGAGAGTGTACTGGGCATAGCAAACACGAATCCTTCGACAAAAAGGATGAATTAAGAAGCTGGGTGCAAGTTAAAAATCATCAAATAACTATCCTTCAGTGAGAATATTTTTGCGTCAGAATGGCAGGAGGAAAAATCTGGCCTAAAGATGATGCCCAAGACCAAACATTTCACAAGAACAGGCACCAGCCACTGGCCTGATCATGAGAATCAAACAGGATTTATTATAACACATTTCTGATTTGTTAGTGTTATGGAATCAGTAAAAGCTTAGACGATTTTGTTGACAGATGAAATATCTGTCTTCCCACCACCCCCGCCATTAAAATGCCCTGTGATTACTGCAGATAACAAGGTGTAGAGCTGGATGAACACAGCAGGCCAAGCAGCATCAGAGGAGCAGGAAGGCTGACGTTTCAGGCCTAGACCCTTCTTCAGAAATGGGCTTCGCAGTGGGGTTAAAATTGTTTCAGAGATTGTAGGAACTGCAGATGCTGGAGAATCTGAGATAACAAGGTGTAGAGCTGGATGAACACAGCAGGCCAAGCAGCTAGGTCCGAAACGTCACCTTCCTGCTCCTCTGATGCTGCTTGGCCTGCTGTGTTCATCCAGCTCTACACCTTGTTATCTCAGATTCTCCAGCATCTGCAGTTCCTACTATCTCTGTGATTACTGCAGTATGTTTCTGACAATGTCCCATTATTCCCTCCTTCACACTCAAACTGATCATACAGTTAGTGTTAGGCAGGCCTGTACATCATTCCCACAACATCCCAGAAAGGAAAGCTGGCATGCCCCTTTGGGGAAAGGGTTCCACAGAGGTTCTGGTGGATCGGATAATGGGGGAGGCCATCCTCTTTTCCTTGGATGTCTATGGGGAGGGGGCCATGGCACCAGACACAAGCAGTATGACCTGGATAGTGGCCTGGGTCGGTCATTTCGCACAGCTGTAGAAATGTCAGCAGTGAAAGAAGAGGTTAATGGTCTCCTGTGCTCTGCAAGTGTTCATGCCACCACTTTCTCTCTGCAACCTCACACTCACTGGACCTCTGCCGCCACACAGCATCACTACCGTGGCTTATGTACTACAACTCTCACTACACCATGTAGAATTTCCACTCAGTGGCTCTCACCCATCTCATCCTCCTAAACTGGAATCCCCTCCTGCCTGCTGCGCTTCCTACTCACTCACTCAGGACACCTTACTACCCCTGGTGCTCCCACATCACTACCAATAGCTCTTCCATCCTCTTTCATGTCACTCAGTCCTTCCCTTTGTCTCATTATCTCCTTGATCTCTTATAATCAGGCATAGTGGGCCAAGGCAGGCAGTGATGTAGTTAACATCCGGTTCCTCACCCCTACAAGGAGAAGACCCTCGACACGGCTGGGGAGTACAGAGTCCACTCACATGAGGATGTTTAGACCTTCATACCGTGTTCCCTCAAAGCTGCACAGCTGCTCCAAGGTCCCACACACATCCGACGTGCTGACACACAGAATTCCAGTTTCACAAGTCACTGCCAATCTGGGTCCTCAGAGCATCGATAAAAAAGGGGACAGTATTGTCCCCATGCTAAGACAACTAGTAAAGGTCTATTCTGCTGTGCTCCTCTCTTATTACTACCAGTATTATTCTGCTGAAGCTTCTAGCCCCATTGCACAACAGACAGCCTGCCTGGCAGCATCAGAGGAGCAGGAAAGTCAACGTTTCAGGCCTAGACCCTTAATCAGGACCATCAGGAGTCTAAATATCGACTCTCTTGTTCCTCTGATGCTGCCTGACCTGCTGTATTCCTCACTTTATTGACTCTGACTGCAGCATCTGCAGTTCTTGCCATCTCCGAGATAGCCTGTCTTTCTTTTACTGGTGGTGGTGGCACCGAACGCAGCCTCTGTTCAGAAGTCGTCCATCCCTCAGCTTCTCCTCCAGCCACAGGACACTGCCACAAATCCCTCAGAGGGTGTACCTGCCTCCTGCACCGTCCACTAGCGTTCACCTCAAATCGGTTCTCTTTCCAGATTAGAATCAGGAGCATGTTCTGGTGAGAACTTCACTGGGACACTTCCACAAATGGTCAAAGAAAAACTGTCCCAGGTCATTGACACTCAGAGGGCTGCCAGGCTGCTCAGGCCCAAGCCCAAGCCCAAGCCAATACCATGCTGACAGCCATTAAAAGCTTTGTTAAAACGCAGTCAGTCACAGGAGCAGCAGGCAGGTTTGTCTGAGGCACTCAGTAAACTGGATCAAAGGTTGAAGGAGTCCCACAATATTATCAATACTGTACCATGCTACCCTGCTGCAAGGACACAAATCCCTAAACTCTGGGTTGCAACAAGCACCTGACAGCGAACCATTCCTGAACTGAGATCGGACAACGTCCTACTGACTGTGGCAGCAACTCCTGACTGAGTATAGCCCCCTTCACTCCCTAAGTGCTCAGCTCCTCTTTGACTTTCAGTCATGGCTATCTAGTTGAAGCACATGCCATGCATTTGCCATGACTCCTGCTGGCACTTGTTATAGGTAGGACTTTCACATAGCACCATGCTGTAGAGCAACATTTCTCCTCCTTTGACTGTCCAATGTTGGGACCTTGCTTGGTTTCTGTCTTCTACAAAAGGCCAAACAGGCTAGTAACAACGGGGCACACTTTAACCATGGAAAGCATGAACTTTAGAGGGGATTTGAGGAAATGCACTGCCTGGGAGAACGGTTGAGGCGAGTACCTCACAACTTTTAAAAGTACTTGGATTAGCACTTGAAAGGTTGTAACATATAAGGCCATGGCCTAAGTGCTGCGAAGTGGGACTAGTGCAGATTTAGCATAGTTTTGGTACAACAGACCCGAAGGGCCAAAGAGCCTCTTCTGTATTGTATGATTTTATGGCTCAGAGATGCTGTGAGCTTATAAGTTCTCAACTAAGCAGCAATGCACTAAAAGACAATGCATGTGCCCTTTTTCCCATGGTACGGGAGTCTAAAACTAGAAGGCATAGGTTTAAGGTGAGAGGGGAGATACAAAAGGGTCCGTGGGCAAATTTTTCACACAGACTGGGGAGTGTCTGGAATAAGCCACCAGAGGTAGTGGTGGAAGCGAGTACAATTTCGTCATTTAAGAAACATTTAGACAAGTACATGGATGGGATACGTATGGTGAGGTATGGACCAAATGCAGGCAAATGAGACTAGTTTAAATTGTGAAAACTGGACGGCATGGGCAAGGTGGGCTGAAAGGCCTGTTTCCATGCTGCAGACATCTCTGACTCTAAAAAAAGAGATACTATGAGCATTCAAGGGCATGTAAAGTGAGTGAATGCTCGAAAACAAAGAGTCCAAAGATGTATCCTGCACAAATCATGGGTGCGTGTCACTGGACACAGGGTGACCTGGCAGGTGCAGTGCAATGTTAGGTGTTGGTAAGCCCCCAAGTACAGTGAAATGCTGAAATGCATTAGTCTTTTCACCAACATATCATTGAGTTCCATGAGCAGCGACTGACATAGCGTTAGTTTGAAATCGGGAGTGATGATGTGGTGAGGCCGGTGTTTTGCTAATGCCAAATTCTATGGGCGGAGGACAGTGTCAGTCGCTACTCACAGAACGCACAACGATATGTTGGTGAAAAGCCTTTTAAGATGGAAGGCTGGAAAAGCCACCGGTGAACTACAACCAGCAAGCAACTCCTCTGTCTTTCACGTCAGGAGTTGGCGCCATCTGGATTCCCAATCATGCACAGGAGAATCACAAACTGCAGAGAAACAGGAGGGGAGATTAGCTACTGACGAGATGCAAATGCATGGAAATAAGGCAGTCGCTGTTTACTTGTGAGATTCAGAACTTGCAGCTGAAACCTTAACAGGACTATTGGATGCTTTCTCTCCATGTGGAGAGGTAGATTTTTTTTTAAAATTCTCATTGTACATTCCCACATTTCTCACCATTGGCCACACTGGCTCAAGTGCTGGGAACAATTCCACACTATGAGTTGGTATTTACAATGTCAATGGATTTTGCAAGGTCATTTAGCCCTGAGACACTGGGATATCCACTATCACTGCAAACAGCTGCACATTGCATCTTTTGACAAATACGGCTTTAAAATATACACCAACATTAACACTCATGACAGCAACTCTGATGGAGGAGAATGAAAAATTACTAAACACGATAGCTGCAGAACAAGAGAAGAACAGATCTGGAGTACTGAGCTGCAAACTAGCAAAGCAGCTGCTAAAAAACCAACGACTGGAAAACAAATCAGCAGGCCGCACCAGCGTTCAAACAATCAGTAAACAGCAGCAAGCAACAGCAGCAGCTGGAAGATCCACTATTTGGTGCTAAATTCACAGAATTCTAATGGTGCAGCAGAAAGATTTGTTGTATTTCTAAACAAAGACATGAATCTGCTGTAAATGTACTAGAATGGTCTTACTACTGCATTATGAGGGGTCAACAGATTCCCTTTCTGTCACATTCCTGAGCTGGTAACAAAGCCTGGATTTTTTTTAAAAAAGTGATATTACATACCAGACCATTTCTGAAACTGAACTTTAGGCAGGTCAGCCAGGTTCCTTAATTAACATATATAAATAGTTTATTACAAACAAAAAACTTACTAATGCAAAAATATAAAAGATTATTAACCAAAGGTTTAAACTGTATCAATTTACAGAACTACTTTTATTGAAAAATAACACACTTTTCACAAAACTTCCAAGGCTGAGAATAAAACATTAAAAACGCTGCAGGGAATCTCTCAAAAAATATTTTGGCTAAGTAACAGTTAAATTCAGGAAAAAGAATTATTCATTTGATAGTTCGAATATTTATCTGAGGCCGAAATCAGTTTGTAAACAAGCTTTTGGGGCTAAAGGTCTAGTGGATCAGTTTTAGCCTGCTAAAGTTGTTTTTTCTGGAGGTTGCAGTGTAGATTTGAATACTCCCTTCAGGAACAAAGAACAAAAAACAAAGAACAAAGAAAATTACAGCACAGGAACAGGCCCTTCGGCCCTCCAAGCCTGCACCGATCCAGATCCTCTATCTAAACCTGTCGCCTATTTTCCAAGGATCTGTATCCCTCTGCTTCCTGCCCATTCATGTATCTGTCTAGATACATCTTAAATGACGCTATTGTGCCTGCCTCTACCACCTCCACTGGCAACGCGTTCCTGCCACCCACCACCCTCTGCGTGAAGAACTTTCCATGCATATCTCCCTTAAACCTTTCCCTTCTCACCTTGAAATCGTGACCCCTAATAATGGAGTCCCCCACTCTGGGAAAAAGCTTCTTGCTATCCACCCTGTCTATACCTCTCACGATTTTGTAGACCTCAATCAGGTCCCCCCTCAACCTCTGTCTTTCTAATGTAAGTAATCCTAATCTACTCAACCTCTCTTCATAGCTAGCACCCTCCATACCAGGCAACATCCTGGTGAGCGTTCTCTGCACCCTCTCCAAAGCATCCACATCCTTTTGGTAATGTGGCGACCAGAACTGTACACAGTATTCCAAATGTGGTCGAACCAAAGTCCTATACAACTGTAACATGACCTGCCAACTCTTGTACTCAATACCCTGTCTGATGAATGAAAGCATGCCGTATGCCTTCTTGACCACTCTATCCACCTGCGTTGCCACCTTCAGGGTACAATGGACCTGAACACCCAGATCTCTCTGTGCATCAATTTTCCCCAGGGCTTTTCCATTTACCGTATAGTTCGCTCTTGAATTGGATCTTCCAAAATGCATCACCTCGCATTTGCCTGGATTGAACTCCATCTGCCATTTCTCCGCCCAACTCTCCAATCTATCTATATTCTGCAGCATTCTCCAACAGTCCCCTTCACTATCTGCTACTCCACCAATCTTAGTGTAGAAGTAGGAGTAGGCCATTCAGCCCCCTTGAGCCTATTCTTCCATTCAATGAAATCATGTTTGATCTATGGCCTAACTCCATATACCAGACTTTTGGCTCATATCCCCTAATGCTTTTGCTTAACAAAAATTTATCTAACTCAAATTTAAAACCAACATCCGATCCTGCATGCATTGTCATTTGTGGAACAGTCTGACCCTAATTCTCAGACTACGCCCCTAAGTTCTAGAATCCCCGACCAGAGGAAATAGGATAGACAGAGATAACCTGTCTTTTCCTATTAATATCTTTTAAACTTTGATCAGATTACCCCTTAACCTCCTAAATTCTACAAAAAAGCAGACCTAATTTGAATAATCTCTTATCATAATTTATCTCCTGAAGTCCAGATATCATTCTTGTAAACCTATGTTGTACTTCCTCCAAGGCCAATATATTCGTACTAAGTTGCAGTGCCAATATCTGCTCACAGTAACCCAAGTGCGGTCTAACTAGAGTTTTTTTTTGAAAATAACTGCAACATAACTTCTGCTTCCTTTTACTCCAGACCTCTAGATACTAGGTTCATTAGTTTTCTTGAATCTTTTCTGCAACTGTTTGTGACATTTTAATGACCTATGTACCTAAACACCGCCACTGTACTTAACTTCATATCATCTGGATGAATCCATCCTTTTTCAGTCCAAAGTGGATAACCTTACACTTGCTTACATCGAACTCCACCTGCCACAGTTTTGCCAATTCACTTTTTCTATGAATAACCCTTTGTAATTTTATGCTACCTGCTACACCATCTACAGTGCTGCCTAACTTTGTCTCACACAACTAAATTTGCTGATGACTTTCTATGTCATTATCTACGTCATTAATAAATAACGTGAATAATTGAGGCCCTTAATAAAGATCCCTGTGGGATACCATTGGTCATATCCACCCAATTGGAGTGCCTGCCCATTATCCCTACTTTCTGTCGCCTACCATTCGGCCAATTTCCCAGCCATGTCAATGATCTCCACAGTGAAGATGACTTCTAGTAGGTTTTCACACTCACTTTGATGAGAGAGGTTTCCAAACACGTATAAGGGGCAAATGTGGTTGTTCCAAACTTGCATTCTTTGCAAATGAATTTTTTTCCCTTCTTTGCTTCGTAGAGTGTTCTTTCCAAAAGATTTAAGACGTACATATATTTCTAGTCAATGATATTCTTTATTAATATTTCAAACTTAAATTTAAAAAAACACACATTTTCATTAAAAATGGTATTCCAAGTGAGAGCTCAGGCTTGCCTGATTAATTCTATAAAATAAGCAACAACATAAGTTTTGCTCAGGCTCCTTGGTGCTATATTTGGTCAAATGCTGCCTTAATGTCAAGGGCAGTCACTCTCTTTTTACCTCTGGAGTTCAACTCTTTTGTCCATTTTTAGATGAACAGGTCAGGAGCTGATACTTCCAGCAAAAACAAAATTAGGTCAGTGAGTGACCAGGTTATTCCATTGCAAATGACCCTCTATAGCAGTTTCAGTGACTCTTCTATCACTTTACTCATGGACAGTAAACCGACAGCGTGGAAACTGGCCAGGTTGGATTTGTCCTTTTTTGTGTCCAGGCCAATTTTCCACATTGTTAGATAGGTGCCAGTGTTGTAGCTGTGCTGGAACACCTTTGCTGGGCAAAGTTAGATCTGGAGCTCATGTCATCAATGCTATTACTGGAATGTTGTCAGGGTCCATAGCCTTTGCAGCATCTAGTTTTTCAGACATCACTTAATATTATCAGGCGGCACAGTGGCTCAGCAGTTAGCATTGTTACCTAACAGTACCAGGGACCTGGGTTCAGTTCCAACCTTTGGTGACTGTATGGAGTTTTTACACTCTCCCAACGTCTACGCAAGTTTCCTCCAGGTGCTCCGATTTCCTCCCAGCGATGTGCAGTTTAGGTAGATTGGCCATGCTAAATTGTCCGTAGTGTCCAGGGATATGTAGACTAGATGGATTGGCCATGGTATATGGAGGGGGTGGGTCTGGCTGGGATGATCTTTGAAGGGTCATGGTGAACTCAATGGGCTGAATGGCATGCTTCCACACTGTAGGGATTCTATGATTCTAATGTCAAAGTCTTAGTCTCTGTGGCGGGCTAACAATGGTTGGAAATATCACGTTTCAGGGTTTCCCTGCATTAATTACAGCAGAAATGCCACAGAAAAGACATACTATAAACAAAAACTTGAGTGTATACATATATAGGACTTTTATATGTAATAAAACATTCCAAATTGCCTCACAACTTTATAATTCCTCCATAGTAAAGCCTTCTCAGCGATGAATCATGAGTTTTGATTAAAGTGTTATTTCATTTTACAACAGATTTTATTGACTCTTTACTACCATTACACATCAGATTTACATGCGCCTATGTCATTTCCATGGTAGTCAAACATTCAATGCCTAAAGCACACAATCAATGTGCACGTAGCCCGCAAAACATTTTTAAATAGTGTTTACTGCTGTAGGAACTGGCATCATCATACTTGAAGCATTTAAGATCCTTGAAATTAGCCAAACTGTGGCATTACTCATGGAATTTAAGCAGATGTAAACACAAAAATAACAAAAGTCACAAAAGCCAAATAGAGGAAGTACCACCAGTGGAAGTTTTTGCTTCACAGGAAATGTGGTGGATGCTTAAGGTGAAGATTAACCAAAAGACTGAGTATATATATTTTGCAGCAAAAATTAAATTTGCTACATTGATTCATTGTGCACAAACCACTGAAAGTGGCAGATTATGTACAGCAAGCAAAGAATATGGTATCCTTGCCTTTATTAATAAGGCAGAGACTACAGCAGCAAAGAGGTGATGTTGAACTTGTAAAAGACACTTGATAGACCTCAGCTGGAGAATTGTGTACAGTTCTCGGCACCACATTATAGAAAGGATGTGAGCATAGTAGAAAGAGTACAGAAGTCGTTAAAAGGATGGTTCCAGGAACAATGAACTTACCTTTTGAAGATACAGCAAGAAGTTGGGACCGTTCTCCTCGGAAGGAAGCTGCCTAAGGGAGCACGTGATAGAGGTTTTCAAAATCATGAGTGGGCTGAATAGATTAGATCGGGAGATTCCCACTCATAAATGGAATAAGAACACCAGGGCATCGATTTAAAGTGATTTGCAAAAGAAGAGCAAAGTGAGGAAAGACTTTTTCACTCAGCAAGTGGTTAGGGTATGGAATGTACTGCATGGAAGTAGGGTGGAGGCATGTTCAATTGGGGCATTCAAGACTGCACTGAAATTATTTGTGCAAAAATATTGTGAAAAGTAATGTGCAAGGGTATGATGAAAAAGCAGGAGATTGGCTCTAGGTAATGAAGCTCATTTAGTGAGCTGGTGCAGTCATGATGAGCCAAAGGGCCTCCTTTCAAACTATAACAAATCTGTGATTCTGAAAGCTCTACATTTTTAAGTT